TATCATTATTATTATCATTTAGTCGATATTGTTATAAATTAATCATTTATGCACCATTAGGTTATATTATCACTATTCTTGGACGTCAACGTTCATCAATTCATATCAATAATCAATTCATTCAATCATCTAATAAAAATATTCATCAATCAATCAATATATTATTTGATAATTATGATTATATATTATTAAATGGGATTACAATCTGTCCATTATTAATTAAATATTATGCAAATCAATTGATTCATTGTATGTATAATATTGGACAATCTATAGAAATATTAGTACATTTAACTGAGATCTATGTATCTTACATGACTATCAACACCACCACCACCACCACCAACACCATCACCAACACCACCACCACCACCAACACCACCACTACTCATAGTAACAATAATAATAGTAGTATTGTGATAAATAATATAGAATTAAATGAATTAGAATTTAAAGAAAAATTTACAAATGCTATAAACAATTTAATTACTAAAGAAAATGAACTTAAACAATTATTATCTATATGGCCTAATCAAAAAGTAAGGAGGTGTATATTCTTATTGTTATTTAGAAAGTGTAATTGATCAATCTCTTGTTAGTATATATGTGCATCTTGTGAGTATTACCGCGATATTGCCTTAATTCACAAGATTTTTGTAAGCAATGATGGATAGTGATTAGTAGTGGAATTCAGTTTGATGCAGGTTTTGTCCTATTTGGGATTGATCAACTGGATGTACCTGCATCTTAGAGAGTTGATGTTCACTCTGGGACTTGAACTCAGTATTATTCGCTTCAAACGCTATTGTGTTATCTACTTAGCTACTGAGTCCTGATAGCCACTTACTTGTGCAATGGGGTGAATTTAAATTCACATGGTATTATTTGGCTTGTATCTTTCCATTGAGATTTAAGACTGAAATTGATCAGTCTGTTATTGGCATATGTGCATACTGTGCATATGCCTCGATATTAAATTAATTAAGCTTTTATAATCAAATATGGATAGTGACTAGTAGTGGAATCCAGTTTGATGCACATGGTATTATTTGGCTTGTATCTTTCCATTGAGATTTAAGACTGAAATTGATCAGTCTGTTATTGGCATATGTGCATACTGTGCATATGCCTCGATATTAAATTAATTAAGCTTTTATAATCAAATATGGATAGTGACTAGTAGTGGAATCCAGTTTGACGGACGTTTCATCCTATTCGGGATTCATCAGCTGGATATATCTGTATCCCAGGGTTTGAAGCGAAAGGTACTTGGTTCGAATCCTGAAGTGAAAATCAACTTTGGGGTGCAGGTACATCCAGCTGATGAGTCCTAAATAAAGACGAAACGTGCCTCTTGGATTTCACTGCTAGCCACTATCCATCTTTGATTGGATATATCTGTATTCTTTTTCTGATTTATTTATAACATTAGAATAGGGGGGTTTGTAAAGGATGATGTATGTGTTTAAACTTAAATTCATCAGTTGATCTATACTTGATCATCACTGAAAACTTGGAAGTATTGAACAGCTGTTTTGTTTTAGTATGGAACTCCTCAATAATGAAAATCTATGATCCCGTACCTAAGGGACTCTAACCTAGAGCCTTCGGTTTCACGTGCAAATGTTTAAATTTTAGACCAATAATCCAGCCAACATCCAACGGTGTTAATGTTTAATTCTAATCGATCTATGAAATGTGAAACCTTTCATTGACTCATGAATTCAACTTTAAACATACTTTATTCTATAATCAGATCTTAGCAAAATTCAGAGAAGGTATTTATAAAAATGAAAAAGGAAGGATTACAGGATTTCAAATAAGATCAGATACTAACACTGTTCAAAAGATACACGATCTTAATTAATGTTGAGTATAATGGAGAATTCAAGGAAAATCTTTAAATACTTGAGTACGTTTGAAAGACTAAAGCTACAAAAAAAAATGATAAAAGTTCACCATCGAGATGAGAAACTGTGGTTTAGTTCTAGTTGACAGTAGAAAAATCATCTTATTTGAACATTATGAAGATGGACATACTGAAAGCTTCTATTCTCATTTGGGTATACAGTTTATTCATGTCGATTCTTACTTACGTGTTTAGTTAATGTTTCAAAATGTAATTTCTTAAAATGAGAATAATTAATCACTCAATGATTATGACTATCATTATGTCTATTAGTTTATTCGAATCGGCATCAATCAATTTACATTGTGTTTAGTTGTGATGAATTATGTACAATCGACTAGTACAAATGTGTTCAAATTTTTTTATATTTTTACTTGTAAATTATTTTTCGATTCATCGTTTGGTGAGACTATAATTTATGGACAGCCTTTGAGTTTGATGGAGTTTTGTTCTCTGAGCTGGATGGTTTAATTGTGGAGGTTTCATCGTTCTTCTGAACGACATCATCAGCATAAACTTCAGATAGAAGTGTTCGAATTTCTCCTGATGCGTTTCACAGCTTGTTCTGTACACCTCGACGTTGATTGGTTCATATTGACCTTAAATTTATCATTGTTTACTTCTTTGTTTTGGTTGGGTCCTCCATTGGTTTGAGTTTTGTTCCTATATTTGTGCATAATTTTCCTGATTGGTTGATAAATTGGATCAATATCAACGTGGTTGTTGACTACTGATTGACCTGAGTGCCAGGCTTCTAAAATTTTGCTGGTGTTTTTGGAATTTCCTCTGCCTTTAAGTAACGCTAAAATGACCTTAAGAGTGTAAACCTAGTAACTAGGACAAAATGAGGGTTATAAACCTGTGGGAGGAATTCGGATTATGAAACATAGTCGATGGTTAAGGTTAGGAATTAGATTTAGGGTTTTCATAAAGAACTGACATCAACTATAATGTCAAAACTCTATTTAACCAAATGGATGAGTGAATTTCGCTCCAAAATCCGAAACCTGTTATCTGATACCAGATTGGTTCATCCATAAATTATAATCTCGTCCTTAAGTTGTTTAGTATATATATATGAAAAATTTCACTGGTTGAGATCATGAGTCAATTGAAGCTAGATCGCTATGGAAAATCTGGAAGCACTGGACGACCGTTTCGTCTTATTATAAGACTCTTCAGCAGATATATGAGACTTGAAAAGAACAGAAATAGATTACATCATAAAGTGTTCATAACATTCAAATATCGTAAGAAGGTTGTGTATTGATCGAATAGTCAGAGAAGAACAAGGAGGATTTTTATCATGGTTTGTATTTATGAATTCAGAAAATGATGAACATTTATTAGATAGAACATAATACTTTTAGATCATATTGTTATATCTCAACGAGAATACTGAATGGTAACTATTCGGATCTATTAATGGATTAATACTATACACATTGTCTTATTCTATAACTATTCAGTAACTAGATCATGTATATCTATATTCCTGTTATTATACGCTTTATTTTAACTCAAAGATTATCATTATACAATTCGCCGTCTTTGAGTTATGCCCTGTCTATTAATTACAGTCACCCACATTCACAGCCACTTTTGGCTTAGATCTTGTATAAATGTTATTTTCCATTTTATAGTATGATGTAGTCTGTTTCGTTTGTATATAAACCCAGTATGTTTGAAATATCATGATTCATATCATAGAGGCTGAGATTAATGTTCTGAACTTGATAGGCAGAGCCAGGTAGGAAGAATGAACGGTAAGAACTCTAGACTTCTCGTACGGGTTTATACATCATTAATCTGGTTGATAAGTCACTATTTTTTAATTGACGGTATCATTACGTCATATATATTGATAGGGGAACAAGGTCACAAGGCTATAATCTGTAATCCAGTTTTAAAGATCGTTAAACTGGAATCTCTATTAGATTCCTCAGTAAATTGTTAGTTGAAGGTAGTGTACATCATGGATTGTTACTAACTAGACAACTATTGAAAATTAAAAGAACACTAGATGGATATCTTATCGGAATATTGTTGAGTCGGCTTTCCGAGAACTGCACCGGAGCCTCCAGAGGCCCTAAAAGAGCGGAAGAGTCCTAAACAATCAGAGCATGATGGAGCTTTCTAGAATGCCAACGTGGCGTGCTACTATTGTCTTTTAGCGGATTGGCTAAAATATGATGTTGATTTAACAAATGTTAACATCTATAAATACCCGTGTTTTTCTGTACAAAGAATGAACCTTTGGAGTAAAGTGTTTTTCGCTTAATTTTCGCCTTTTCTTTCGTGTTCAGGTCTTTGTGTAGTTCTAGCTTGCGGGTTAACAGAATAGCTTAGGAACCGAATAAAGCGTTCAAATTAAGAAGATTTATCAGATATAGAACTTTTTAGTATACAGCCTAACAATCTACGAGTAATACAATCTTCAGTCGATTTGCGGATATTCAATTTGATCCCTAATAGTTTGTTGATGCCTATTACAAGTAAAATTCTAAACTAGGATAAAGTAGATGTTTGTAGTGTGTTGTCGAGTCGCGGTTGACTATGAACACCACTACAAGAAGTCTACGTGCCAGTTAACCGATAAAATCACCCGTAAGCCAAATATCAGAAGGCAGTTGATGGCTGTAGTCGAGATGTATTTGTTGGTGATCTCGTGATATCGAAAGAATACCAAGATCGTGCCAAAGGAGTACAAGTGTGGTTACTGAGTGTAACCGAATTCGTGCAAGGTCACAATCAATCGAAGGATAATGGAGTGGTAATATGGCTGTCTTTAGCACAGTTAAACAAACGAGCACAGTAAAACAATCACTGGTACAATTGATTGTTTCCATTAAACCCATCGCGTTCTCTTGATAAAAGTAGGTCACTACATGTTCAGTACTACTTGGTACTCACAAATCTCATTCTATGTGTCATAATTATAATCCTAAGTATGATATACTTTTCTATTTAGATAATTAAACCAACTTTATTGTCAATACTACAACGTTTCACTGAAAATTCTGGAACATCCGATATGAATTATGCTTGGCGTATATTACAAACAGATTTTATTACAATCAATCCATTTCGAGTAGTTTATAGTCATGGTAATATGATGTAATAATGGTGTTTTGTTTTACTTGTTATTTCATTGATTAGTTCGTTTAGTTATATGTAATGATATAGAGTTCAACAAGTATATTCATATTGATGACATTTAATTCATGAACCGATTGATGTTAGACAACCACTGAGAACCTGAAAGCACTGGAAGGCTGTTTCGTTCTATTGTGGGACTCCTCAGCGGTGTGTATCCACGACTTTGCACCTTGGGATTCAAACCCATGGCCTTCAGTCTAGCGCGCGAATGCTTAACCTTATCATTTTGAAAATGATTATGTCCTTACTAGCGGCCAAATTTAAGATAGATCTCTGAAGCTCTAGTTATCATCTATGATAGATAGAGTTCAATGATGTTGGAAGTGAGATAGATAACAACGATGGTAAAGGTTGTGAAGGTAGTAAATTTAAATGAGTTTGGAGGTTGTAGGTGTTTACTACTGAGAAATCTCATACTAGTCTGAAACAACTTTCCACTATTCCTTGCTTTTAGAATGACTGGTAATGAAATATGATTTTTACTTATTCAACATGAAGTTTAAAAGTTCCATATTGACGATTAACTTTCTGTTGTTTTTTACAATAAAATTGGAGTATCTATATAAAAGCAAATTATTAGTGAGCACTAAAATTACTGTCCCATACACACGGAAAAGTGCAGATGAAAACAACTAGTGAAGCAGAAGTCTCTGCATCAGCAGGCTTCAACATACTTATTTACTTACTTACGACTGTTACTCCACGTGGAGGAGCATAGGCCGCCAATCCACACTTTCCTGTCGTGAGCAGATCTCAACATATACAAGGGAAAAAGGAAGGTCCTCGAATACAACACGCAGAACACAAACCCAATCACATTTGATGGAGAAGCTCAGGAAGATGTGCAATCTTTCATGTATCTGGGGAGCATCATCACCAATGAACAAGGATGATTTGATGCAGACGTAAAGGCGAGGGTTAACAAAGCAAGGACAGCATTCCTACAGTTAAAGAACATATGGAACTAAAAACAACTGTCAACCAAAATCAAAGACACATTCTTCAATACGAACGTCAAGACAGTCCTACTATGCGAAGCTGAAACATGGAGAACTACTACAACCATCATCAAAAAGATAAAAGTATTTCTAAACAGTTGTCTACGTAAGAAAGTAAATGTCCGTTGGTTGGATATCATCAACAACAACCTACTGTGTGAGAGAATAGACCAACCTCCGGTCGAGGCGGAAATTAGGGAAAGATGTTGGATGTGTATAGGACGCACATTGAGGAAATTATCAAACTGCATCCCGAGGTAAGCCCTGATTTGGAGTTCTGAAGGGAAACAAAAAGAGGAAGACCAAAGAAAATACTTAGTCGGGAGTTGGAAGCAGATATGAAAAGGATAAACAGGAACTGGAAAGTATTCTCAAGGACAGAGTTGAATGAAAAATATTGATGGTTGGCCTATACTCCTCGATCAGTGGTAACAGGCGTAAGTAAAATTACTTTTCTTTCAAATAGTTTTTTTTTAGTCGAAGTAGATAACACTGTGGAGTCCGAAAGAAATACGTAGAAACGGCTATGTTGTCTTTCCAGATTTTAAGTGACTTTCTAGAAAATATGACAGAAATTTAGTTGATATCCATAGTGTAGTAAACAAGAACACACGTCGGGATAATCAAGTGTCATATACTACTTATGTGGATATAAGTAGCTCACATCACAATAGGAATTATGTTTTTCTAAAGACTTTTTTTTTAAAAATATTTCAGAAACGGTTTCAAATCCTGCTCCTTCAGTTATAACAAAACAAAAATCAAAAGTGCTTAGTTCACGTAAGTATCGAATAGATTTATTATTCTTTTCGGGTATTTTATTTGAACTGAAACATCATATTTCCCTTATTTATTTATTTAAACACATAAACATTGATAAAAGCACCAAGTAGATATGCGCCACATAAATCATTCAGTTTATGTGAGTGCTGGGATACTTCCCGGGTGCCCAAACCAAAACAGTCACTTTTCTTAGGGGGCCATACCTAGAGCCTTTGATCTAAAGGCCTAATCCACAAGACAATAGAGCAAAGTAAGGAGATGCATTCTCATAGTAGTTGGTGACTGCCAATATTTTCATACGCCATTTGTTTCCTTAAGATCTCGGAGCCCATGTATACCATTTGTTTGGAATCGGGGTTTTCCAACTTCCTTAGGTGAACCTCTCGTGTCCACCAACTCGTTTAAAGCACTAGATATTTGCTTTTTGTCCTCTCAATTTTGTAAACAACAGTAATGCAGTGAGAAGGCAGTGAGTAGGACGTCACTGACATTGGCTGTATACGTTTGACCATGTGAGAGCATTTGGGAGTGAGAGCTTAATCTCCTCACTCTCGGCCGCACTATGGAATTTGGGGGCAAACCGCCGAGTTCAACGTGATTTTCATTAGCGGTTGTCGATAAAGCTGGATAAATGGCTGTGAATCGTTCTGATGTATATATTTAGACTCTTGACATGATCCAGTGAGAGCTCGAGTTTGTTTGCACCTTTTCGGACGTAGAAAAGTCGAAACAATGAGACCCTCTTGAATTCAACTTAACAAAGGGCAAGCTACAAGTATTTACTTCCAATTCTAACGGTCAAATCTTTTATCTGAGCGATAATAATGCTAAATATCAGAAGGGGTTTTGTGGAGATTTTAGGAATTTCAATAGTTGAAATCATGATTCAATTGAAGCTAGATCGCCATGGGAAACCTGAAAGCACTGGACTGTCGTTTTGTCTTAGTATGGGATTTCTGGGTTTGAATCTCGCGGGGGGCGGTATTATGGGGGTGTACTGCTGAGGAGTCCTACAACAGGAGAAAACGGCAGTTCAGTGTTTCCAGGTTTTCCATAGTGATCTAACTTCAAATGTTTCATGATTTCAACTATTGAGATGTTAAATATGTGTTTAAAGCTTCCTGCTGATAATCAACACTCACAAATTCAACATCTTTTACAATGATTGAAAAAAGTATCATTTTAAACGTTCAGTTCTAGGGATTTGTTCATATTCAGTTTCAGATTTATACGCTTGATAGAAATTACTGCGGACTCGTATGCTATAGTTGAATAGGATTGGATCCAAACCTATCTAGCTTAAGGGAATAGTTACAAAGCATCATTTAGAAATTATTTTATAGATTCAGCTTAGTTGATCGAGGATCTGAGCTTTCGAATCTAAACTATGATCTATGTAATCAGAGATTAGTTGAGTAGAATCAGTAATCATTGAAGATTCATTACGATTTTGTTGGGGATGCTAGAACACCAAGAACTAACTTGGTAAATGTCTTGCTTTTGTGATTTTATTTCTGGATTTTGCACCAAAAGCGCCCATTCTTACCTTCAAATTGTATTTTCTACTTGAAAGGATCCTAAATGTCATTGGTTCGTTGAACCTTTTAATGTGCGACTTTTCCCAAGGACATTTTTATGTGCTATATATTCGCCTAAGTTGTGTGCTTGTTATTGTTTTTGCTTTTGACGGCTTGTGGAATATACTTTCTCTCATCTGAACCTGAAATTCTCACTCTAATTAGTGAGGATGGGGTGCATTGGAATAATTTAGCTGTCCTATGATTGGGTCTCTGAGTCTTCGTTCCGTATACTGCTCGGCAGTTCGTTCTGTTTTACTTTACGGCTGCGAAACGTGACCATTAAGAGTTGGAGATATTCGTAAGCTACCAGTATTTGACCACAGATGCCTGAGAAATATTACTCACATCTGCCGGGGTCACCGGGTAAATAATAGTAAGGTTAGACGCAGTGTATTAGATAATGATGGTAAGTCAGTTGATGAAGTTGTAATTCTTCACTAACTGAGATGGTTGGGCCACGTGTTGCATATACTTAAACACCGATTACCATAACGTGCAATGCTGACTGGTGATGGTTGGAAGAAAGTTAGGGGCAGTCAAACCAAAAAGTGGCATCACACCTTGAAGTCACTAAATTCTGGTGTGAGTCATGTTGATCGCTGCAGACTACTTGGTTGGTGTCCGTGTGACTATCATAACCAATGGTTGGAGACTGTGTGACATGACTCCGAATCGATCAATCACAATGAGGTCAATGTATACACTCTCTGTCTTTCCTTAAATTGTGATATTTAAATTGCTTTATATTTTTCTTTCTACCGACGAACTCTTTCTACCAGTACTATATCCTTATGTGTAATCTTTCTCTTATATATTACCACGATTGGGTTAACTACTTCTATGAATCTGGTGTTCATTTTACCGTGCCAATGAGGTATGGGAACTTGAACCGATGCATATATGTTCCTGGTCCTTTATTGTAGCTGACTGACTGACTTCGTCCTGTTCACCAATTTAGGTGATCTCTTAATGTTTTCAAATATAGCAGATTCATAACAGAGAAACATATTTATTAATTTTTTACTACATTGCATTAGGGTAACAATGAACGTTATATAAATGAATCAACTCGAATAGAAACTATAGTGAAATGAAATTCAAGTAGTCATTACTACTACTACTACTACTACTACTACTACTACTACTACTACTACTACTACTACTACTACTACTACTACTACTACTACTACTGCTACTACTACTACTACTACTGCTACTACTACTACTACTACTACTACTACTACTACTACTACTAGTACTATTCACACTACTAATACTACCATATATATCAAACATTTTTTTCTTTCAATAGGTGGAGAGAAAGCTAATCAATCAGTTAAAATGTGAGTTGATTTTCATGTTTTGCATAAAATCAGTGTTGTAAAAAATGATCCCGCTTTGATTGATGAATGAATGAAGTTGACATGATTGTTTGTTTAACTGTTATTTCATTTATTTATTTATATATTTAAACACAAGGACGCACCAAATAGATATGCGCCACATAAATGATTCGATTTGTTTGAGGGCTGGGATACTGTCCGGGTGCCCAAACTGAAGCAAGCGGTTTACCCAGGGTCCACAACCAGAGCCTTCGACCCAAAGGTCTAATCCAAAAGGCAGTGGAGCAACGTAAGGAGATGTAGTTTCAGAGTAGTCGATGACCAACAATGGTTGCATACACCATTTGTTTCCTTAGGATCCTGGAGCCCATGTTCACCATTAGTTTGGAATGAAGGTTTTCCAACTTTTCTAGGTGGATCCTCCATATTCACCAACCTGGTTAAAGCGCCGAACATTCACTTTTTGTTCTCTCAATTTCGTAAACGATACCCATCACCGCGAGAATGCAGTGAGTAGGACTTCCCTGACGGTGGTTATATGCACGTGGCTATATGAGAGCATTTGGAGGGGGATAGTTTAACCTCTCCACTCTCGACCGCGCCAGAGCATTTGGGGGCCATTGTTTCATATATTCTTGCATATCAATCATAACAATATTATAAGTATCTTTTCATGAATTTCGACTTCAAGTCATTCAACACTATTATTGATAATGGTAACAATAAACTATAGGAGCAAATTTTAAACCTGATTGTAACTAGAATAGTATGACATTTATATGTGCTTTTAGTTTATTCCTAAAAACGCTAACTAATAATATAATACTTTTAACCCGTCGTAAAGGTTGATGGCTATCTGTTCAGTGAATGATACGTTAGTATTTGACATGTAAATTATTGGACTTGAGATTAAGTGTAAACATCAACCTTGAGGAGTTATAGCAGGTAAATACAACTGATAATCTCTAAATAGGATGAAATGCTCAATCGGGATTCTAATATTATTCACACATTGTACACTTTAAAACAATCGTTTAGTTCAAATTAGACTATCCCATTTTTTCTTAACTGAAATGTTCTAAGTGATGAACATACCTATACATTTTATCCCTATGATAACTGTAAAATTGAGTCTCTCGGCACTTTTGTAACTGGATAAGCAACTATTAAATATAGGGGATTGTCGCTTTATATGTGCGTATCGACTCTGTTGAATTCACAGTCTTATTACCTTGATAATCTTGATAAGTTGGAACCACTGACGTCCTTCCATCCACTCCAATTCCCACAACACAAAGTGAGAACACGAAAGATTGTTGTGATGAAGATTTATTGACTCTTTGAAAACCCGTCTCCAAAAAAATTTCAAAATCACACCATCTTTAGACTATAATACAATCATTTATATAACAACTTTATAGTACATAAAGGAGGAAGTAGTTACAGTTACTGTAAAAACGCATACAATAAATGTAGTTCACCTGAATTATCAGAGAGAATAAAGTTGTCACTATGGACGAGAGTTCACATTTGTCATGTAGAACAAAGTTTATACTGAATTGATACAAAAAATGTTTTTGATTCAGATCATGAACTGATTGATGTTAGACCACCACTGAAAACCTGGAAGCACTGGAAGGCCGTTTCGTCCTATTGTGGGACTCCTTAGCAGAGCGCATCCACGATCCTCCTCGCGGGTTCGAACCCGGGGCCTTTAGTTTCACGCACGAACTCTTAACCTCTTGACCACTGAGTTGGCCGGCATCCGATGGTGTTAATGTCCAACTGGAACAAATCTACGAAATTGCGCGATCATCTTCCATTGTAATGAGCTAGATACCTGTCTCTATCCAACACGGACTAGCTCCACTGGTCATAGCTTCTCACTAGAACTCCCAGAATTCCCTCGCGAAGCTAGTCACTAGTGAGGAGGAAAAAGGATTGACCTTAAAATGTCACCTTAAACGTAGTTCAAACTCTGACCAACGTTCATAATGGATTGATAATATATATATATTGCCCTAACTAATTTCATCTTCTTATCATCCCTTTCTCATCAAGCGTATATATTACTTATATGACTCCATGACCTACGAATTTGGCACTATTCCTTATGATTAATCTCATGATATTCTCTTGTTTTAGTCCAAACTTTGTTTGTATAAGAACTGATTCAATGTAGTGACTGAAGATCTTGAATTTATGTATGATAACCTGACTATATTTATCCACTAATAATTCACTATCATTTATGGACAACCTTTGAGCGACGCCAGACTGACTATGAGAGTGTGCACCTAATAACTAGGATCAAATAAAGGTTATAAACCAGTGTGAAGTATTAGAATTATGATTCACAATTGATGGGGGGGGGTTGTTCATCACGAACTGACATCAGCTATGATATCAGAACTCTATTTAACGAAATAAATGAATGAATTTTGCTCTAACCCCCGAAACCCAATGAACTTATACCTGATTAGTCCATCGTTTGCCCCCAAATGCCCTGGTGCAGCCAAGAGTGGGGAGAGTCCGCTCTCCCATTCGAAATGCTCTCACATGGTCACGCGTATATAGCCTCTGCCAAGGAAGTCCTACTCACTGCCTTCTCCTGGCGGAGGTGTTGTTTACGAAATTGAGAGGACGAAAAGCGAGTGTCCAGTGCTTTAACCGGATTCCAAACCAATGGTGCACATGGGCTCCAGTATCCTGAAGGAACAAATGGTGTATGAACCAATTTTTGGTCACCGGTTAGCATGAGACTGCATCTCTTTAAGATGCTCCTTTGCCTTGTGGATCAGACCTTTAAGTCATAGGCTCGGGGTGTGGCCCCCTAATAAAACCACCCGCTTTTGTTAGGGCACCTGGGCAGTATCACAGCCCTCATACATATCGAATGAGATTTGTGTGGCGCATATGTTCATCCTTCAACTATATTTTCACCAATAAGTCTTCTTTTTTTTCTTATTTCATTGATTTACTTTTGTTTATAGTAATCCAATTGAAGAAACAGTTATTAATCGTTGGAATCAACCAGTCATTAATCCTGATCTATTAATTGCTATAGTACGTATACAATCATTCTATCGCGGTTGGCGTATTCGAAATACAATACATTTAAGTCAAACCAAATATCTAATAGAAACTTTATTATCTATCATCAATTCACAGAATAAATCAAATATAGATAATAATCATTTGATGCATAAGCGATCATTATTAAGAATTAAACGTTTATCGATTGGTTGGATGTCTTGTTTGAATGTATTACAACAAGGTCATTTACAATGTGAGGCGGGAAATCGATTAATTGAAAACTTGATTCTTACTAATTCCAAAACTACTACTGATAATAATAATAATAATAGTAGTATACAAAATAAATTATATAAAGATATGAATTCTTATTTAAGTATTAAAGAATATTCTGGTAACTATGGTGATATACCATCACCATGTCCAATGCATCATACAGGATCAGAATTACATAATATGAATCAATTACATAATTCATTACATCAAGATTGGATTCATTTATTATTTCGTGATTGTATTTATTCATCAAAATGTTTAAAAAATGAAAGTATAATAATCAATGAAGAAGAAGAAATTCAATATTCATTTCGTTTAAAAACTACTATACCGGATAGTTATATCCTATTGATCAATAATGATAATCGTAAGTTTACAAATACGTACAATAAGTAACTATTTATGAGTAGTATATAGTTATGGATGAGCCAATCAGAAGTGTCTGAAGGATTTCAAGGGTACGGTGCCAATTCCACTACCTGATGTTAACGTAAAATCGGTTCATACAAAACCTGATAATTGAGGGGTTATAACTAATAAAACGGCGAGGCTAAAATTTATCGACAAACCCATCGTGTATAAGATAATAGGTTTCGGATTTTGGCGCTAAATTCATTTATCCATTTGGCTAAATAAAGTTTTATCATTATAGCTGATGTCAGTTCATGATGAAAACCTCATATATATATATATATCCTAAGCTACAAATCAAAGTGACAACATGTGTTTACAAAATAAGAAGTAACTTTTAAGTAGTTTGATGAATAATATTCAAGATTTTAGAGTAATAAATGTTCAGTTGAACTTTATGACTGGACACCAATACAAATCCAGTTCTAACCTGTTTACCGTATCCCACAGTCAGCTACTCTATAAGAAACAGCTAGTCGATTGGATAAAAGTCAACTTTACTTGGTGATAAGATTCGACACTGAAAACCAATAGATTAAAATATTTCACAGGTTGAAATCATGAGTCGATGGAAGCTAGACCACCATGGAAAACCTGGAAGCACTGGACTGCCGTTTCGTCCTAGTATGGGACTCCTCAGCAGTGCGCATCCACGATCCCGGTCTAGTGGTTAAGTGCTCGCGCGCGAAGCCAGTAGGTCCTGGGTTCGAGCCCCGAGTGGAGCGGGATCGTGGATGCGCACTGCTGAGGAGTCCCATACTAGGACGAAACGGCCGTCCAGTGTTTCCAGGTTTTCCATGGTGGTCTAGCTTTTATCGACTCATGATTTCAACCTGTGAAATTTCTAAAAAAACTCTCCACAAAACCCATTCTGAGATTAAAATATCACTGAAAATCAGGGGACACAGGTAAATAGTTTTATTCATATTCATGACTATCGAGTCATCTAGCGTTATCTAATTTTCAGTCATTCTTATACATCTTATATTCGACCGATTTCGCACAAATTTCCTTATTATTTCCTGCTCCCCAAAACTCTTATACTCTTGAACGACGAACGAATAGTAAATATGAAAGAAGTTTAACTTTGGAGCTTAGTTTATGTACAGAGTTGGGGAAATGTAAGTACTCGAGCAGCTTTCACGCTGTGAAACATCGGATCTAATTCCTGCTTGATGATTTAGTGAACACAGTACAAGGATATTAATGTAATTAGATGTGAGATTCTGGAAAACATGCTAAAATTGGTAGTTGTCCACTCAGGATAATGAAAAAATAAAGTCTTTCTCTGAATTCTCTCAGATGTTTCTAAAAAACTCTGATTATTCGAAGTAATTTCAGTATTTATCTTAGTTCTTATAATTTTCAAGTTAATTGTATATATACGCATGAGTTGCGTTCTTCCGGGCTCCTTGTGAAGTACATATTTTTCCGATTGCGGCTTGCCTTCTCCTTTTAGTTAACAGCGCTGAGGTACAGGTAAATAGCCTAGCTTGTCCTGTTGTTTTCTTGCTGTCTTTCGTTCCGTTTGCTGATCCTAGGTGATATCTTAATCCCTTGAACATAGAACCAATAAATGACCATTTTCAACGGAGTGAAATGGGAAATATGAAGTGTTGGATTCTGAATTGGTAGTTTAACACTATCATGTTCACTGTTGATCATATGTTGGATAACGAATTGAACTATGATTATGTATTACTCAAAATGATGAAATAAATGTAACACATAAAGTTGTATAGTTTTCTAAAGCTTTTTATCTCATATCAATCAGTGATATTGATTTGTAGTTATGAATGTAAAATATGATTGTTCATTGAGGGTGAGCGAATAGGCACTTGACCTATGAACTAGAAAATATGTGATTTCCTTTCCTCTCCTTGATTTATACATCGGACTCATGGAGAGTGATCACTTGTAACTTCATTGTGAAACATGGCCTGTAAGGGTAGAGGATATTCGTAGGTTACTAGTATCCGATCATAGGTGTCTTCGAATCATTGATCGTATATCCTGAAGCAACTGAGTAAGTAATCCAGTTGTTAAGAAACGGGTACTAGATAAGGGTGGCAAATCAATTGATAAAGTAGTGAAACTTCATCAGTTGAGATCACTGGGATACGTGTTACGTATGCCCAAACGTTAACCGCCTCGAAGAGCAATGTTTTATGGTGTAGGAGTAGGTTGGAAGAAGACTAGGGGCAGCCAGAACAAAACATGGCACGAATTCATGAAGTCACTGGCAAGTGGACTGAGCCATATTGGTAGGTGTAGACTACCTGATTGGGATCCGGGGAACAATAGTAAGCGATTGTTAGAGACCTTGAATGACATGACTCAAGATCGTTTGAAATGGTGTGCGCAAGGTGTATACACTCTTTGTGTTCTCCCAAATTCTAATCTTCTGAATTCTTCATATCCCATTTTTTCTTTCTAAATTCCTTTCACTGTATTATACTCATTGAATAACATTTTCAAACCTCAATCTTTCCGATTATTTCTTATACTTTTACTAATTCTACCACTATAGGATTTGGATGGACAATTGTATGTGTGTGCTGATGTGGTATAGCAACTTGAAATGATGTACATACGTACAAAATTCTACTTTGTTACTGACTAACTGATTAAATCTGGTTGTTTATTCTGGATCGTAAATCCTAGATATGATATGAAGTGATTAGTTATATAAAGTACTTCTAAAAGCAAGAAAAATATCATAAACTATCCACTTTACCACTACCCTTTCTATATATGTATGTTTTCTTTTCTTTTTTTTATAGGTGAAATCATTCATCCATCCATTGAATATCCTTATAGTTGGTTAAATCTTAAAGAAAATAAACATGGATATAGTTTATTAGGATTAGTAACTAATCATATAACACCTATACCAAATGGTAAATGGAATTTACAATTATTAGGACCAGGTATCATTGGTAATGAAAATCTTCCTAAACCATTAAATACAACATTAAATTTATGGTCAAATTTTCATATTATTGAATTAGAAGATTATTATGAACCAAATCCGAAAAATCTATTATTTCGACGTAGAATTATAGTAAGTTTATTTATATAGTAACTAACTTATTTGTTGTTAGGGGATTATTTTTAAAAATAGGTAACCCTGAACAACTATTTCATTTTAGTCTATGACTGATTAACAAAGTATGTTTATAACTCTACCTTTGGATTGAACATAAGAGATCTCGAACCTTTATTAGACTATGAGGCTTAGGTTTAAACATTGATATGTCTAACTTCAGTCAATTCATGACACTACTATTTCATCCTAGTATGTGATTTATCAACACAACATGTTCATAACCCTGACTTTGGATTGAATATAGGAGATCCCAAACCTTTGAACTACTAAGTATGGATGTAAAGATTTCTATTTCTAAATTCAATCAATTCCTGAATTCTATAGCTTATAGGTTCTTATTAGAATTTCAGGAATTACTAGTAAACATATGATGATTGTTATGATAGGGTATATATTCCAGTTTATGTAATTTGAAGTTCATATTATCAATCTCATATAGCATCATTGTTCACTTCTGCGAAGAAGTAAGTTATGAAGAAACGATTGTTAAGTGCTATGTAGATTTCAATGGTTCTCTATCTCATAACAGTTATCGAATAAGCTAAATAAAATTAGAGTTGAACTCATGAGTCCACTATAGAAAACATGGAAAAACTGGACGGCCGTTTCGTCTTAGTATGGGACTCCTCAACAGTGAGCATTCACCATCCCGCACACGGGATTCAAGGACAGGATTTATCAGTCTCACGCGATAACGCTTAACCACTAGACCACTGAGCCGACTGGTACGTAACGGTGTTAATGTCTAACTTCAAACAATTCACGAAATCTCACCACTGTCCATCATTGTCATCAGTGAGTGATTATCACACAACAGACCCCTTTGAACTTCACCGTTCATTGCTTCTCACTAGAAGAACTCCACGAAATATCTCTTGAAACCAGTCACTAGTGAGCATATGTTGATGAATATCAGAAGAGGTTTTTATGGATATTATAATAATTTCAATAGTTGAGATTATGAGTCGATTGAAGCTAGATCACCATGGAAAATCTGGAAGAAAACAACTACTTATTCGCCGTGACCAGTGGAGCTAATCCATATCGGGTAGAGATAGGTATCTGTCTCAGTACAATGGAAGATGGTCGCGCGATTTCGTGGATTTGTTGAAGTTGGACATTAACACCGTCGCATGCCGGCCAACTCAGTGGTCTAGAGGTTAAGCGTTCGCGCTCGAGACCGAAGGCCCTGGGTCCGGATCCCACGAACGGGATCATGGATGCGCACTGCTGAGGAGTCCCACAATAGGGCGAAACGGCCGTCCAGTGCTACCAGGTTTCCAAAGGTGGTCTGACATCAATCGGTTCATGATCTCAATCAAAAAATTCTAACCATTTATATTTTCTTTTTTTTCTCATTTACTAATAGGCTTCTAATGATAGTTTGATAACGGTTCATTTACGATTATCTGTACCAAATGTTTATACGCGTTTATGCATTAAAATGGGCAATAAAGAAATGATCTCTGCTGAAGGTTTTGGTGCAGCATGTATTTTTGCTTATATTATATTAGCTGATACAATAATAGATGACAGAAATAGTCAAACATCTAATTCAGGACGTCTATTAGAAGTGAATAAAGGTGACAATGTCAAATTAAGTATAAAAGATGTGACCAATTCAAAAGTTATATCGAATAAATTGAATACTACTAAAGTATCTCCAAGAAGATCTGCATCAGTGAAGAAAAATATGAAACCGGGAGTAAGTTGAATAAATTCTATCAATGAAAATAATTACGTATTTTATGTAATCAATCCATTAGTTATGACGTTGTATTCATCATGGTTACTAATCTCATAGAATATTCAAATGTTTCCAACCTTACAAAAAAAACAGAACATTAGAAGGTCTGATGAATGATTGCAAATAGTCAATTGAAGCCAGATCTGGGTTCGAATCCCGCGAGTCAGGGTCGTGGATGTGCACTGCTGAGGAGTCCCACAATAGGACGAAACGGTCGTCCAGTGCTTCCGGGTTTTTCATCGTGGTCTAGCTTCAATTGACTCATGATCTCAATTATTGATATCTTTTATACTCCCAATGGAGTATAGACCGCCGGCTAGCATTCTCCGACTCACTCTATCCTGAGTCTTCCTTTCTAGTCCTATTCAATTTTTTAAATTCTTCTCATGTCTGTCTCCATTTTTCGGTATAATGTAATCTTTGGTTTTCTTCTTCTTCTTCGGCCTAGAGGATTTCAGATGAGGACTTTCCTTGTGACGCAGTTGGGTGATTTCCTCAATGTGTGTCTTATTCACTTCCAGCGCTTCTTTCTCTAAAAATACGATGACCAGAAAAAAACAACTCATTACAAATAATAACTTTATATAATGAAATAGCGACATAGTTATGGATGTAAAGTTGGGTAACACATTGATTGTTAATCAGCTATCATTTACAAATGGTAAAGAATAAAGTAACAATTGATTAGGCAAATGAAAACTTATAATCAAGGTTTTTCGAAAATTCCATAAACCAACTAAGTAATAAGCAAAGATGGATGGTGACTAGCAGTAGAATACAGGATAACGCGATGACGTTTGAAGCGAACGGTATTAAGTATGAGTCTCGGGGTAAACATTAACTCTAGGATGCAGGTACGTCCAGTTGAAGAGTCTCAAATAGGACGAAACGCGCTACCTGGATTCCATTATCAGCCATCATCCACCTTTACTTATAATGCTTGTACAGTAAGGTAATATCGAGGCAATCCCTACAGTATACACATTAGCCAACAAGAGACTGATCAATTGCAGTCCTAAACATCAATGGTAAGATACAAATAAACAATACCAAATCAGAATGGGTTTTATGTAGAGTTTTAGCAATTTCACAGGTTGAAATCATGAGTCGATGGAAGCTAGACCACCATGGAAAAACTGGAAGCACTGGACGGCCGTTTCGTCCTAGTATGGGACTCCTCAGCAGTGCGCATCCACGATCCCGCACCACGCGGGGCTCGAACCCAGGACCTACTGGTTTCGCACGCGAGCACTTAACCACTAGACCGGGATCGTGGAAGCGCACTGCTGAGGAGTCCCATACTAGGACGAAACGGCGGTCCAGTGTTTCCAGGTTTTCCATGGTGGTCTAGCTTCCATCGACTCATGATTTCAACCTGTGAAATACCAACTCAACTAATTAATAGATTTATATTAGAGTGATACGAACTAATTCTTCAAATATTAGCTTCCAGAGTTTTTATACAGTTAGAAGCTAATTTTCATGAGAACTAGAAGTTACTTAATAATAATTTTATGCTTACTAATGAGTAGTTTCGGTATGAATTTCTAGAAGTCTTTAAAATGGTAGACTTAGATTATTTAGACCATTCAACCTGAGAATGAATTATAAGCTCACTAGTGACATTGGTTAGGGATCATATTATGTCACATATTATTTGTAGCTGAGAATTTGGATTAGTGCATTCAATGACTTGGCATTATTATACTAGCTGCCAAACGTCAAGATTCTGGGATCGATCCAGTTTAAGGTTGTGTCTATACACAACTGGTTAGTGACAAACTAAGACAAAATAGTTGGAGTCTCTTATTTCAGTAAATTTTGAATTGGGTTCTAATCCCATAGGAATAATAAGTTCTACTAGAATGAGCACTGTAAACATCTCAGTAGTGATGTCTCAGATTGTAAGGTTATATGACGCACGATCAAGTTTACTAAGGGACACCAGTTTACTAAGAGTTACAGGTATTCTTTGTTAACGAGATATAAATAACACAAAGCCTGGTTCTAGAGCTTCCAGTCGACTACCTCCGACCACTTCAAACATTTACTGAGAAAAATAATCAGTACGATCATCTTAGTAATTACGGCGTTGTATCGAAAGAACAACAACAGTATATAATAAATATATTTATATGTAGTAGTGAAATACAGGAAGCGAGTTTCATCCTGTTTGAGATTCGTCAGCTGGATGAGCCAGCAGCCTAATGTTTATATTCATATTTGAAATTAAACTCAGTACCTTCCTCGACAATTTACCATTATGATGGGTTTTAATTCTTTCATAATACTGAGTAAGCACATACATTTGGGTATCATAATTATTCACTTCAAACAAATGTAAAACAGAATAGTTATTTAGAAAGATATTGTACAATTGGAAAATAGGTAATGCGAACGTTTAAACATAAACTAAAAACTTTAAATGAAGACATTCTAACTTTCAGAGCAGAGTTTAAATGGTTTGAATTATTTTTAACGAGTTCGTTTTCTACGGGATGGGGTTGCTAACCCCATGCCCAACCCTCCTTTATTCGAGCTTAGGATCGGGAGTAGCCCAAGAGGGGCTCCAGGCGGAGTTAAACGTTTGAACAGGTTGCCATTATTTTCTAATATATTTGATAACTTTACTTAACTTAGTATTCTACTCCTTTTGAATAATTAACAACAATGTTTCCTCTATACAAATCAATTCATAATTTAGAGTAGTTCTGGCAGTTCAACTGGTGGTAGTACAACAGGAAGTGGTCGAGGTTCTAGTAGTACTAATAGTGCTAATATAGAGCGATCAAATCAATATGAACAATTCAATTCCAGTTCACCACATTCACATAGATCAGATAGTCAGCAAATAGAAGGAGAAAAAGAAGAAGAACGATATTATTGGATTGAAGCTTATGTAGATGGTAAAAATTGGCCATTGAGTATAACTAATTGGGCATTTTTAGAAGAACAGCGTTGTAATAAACTTGAAGAGTGTCAAGGTTAATTATTGATTACTTTATTTGTTCTTTCTTTCTTTCATTATTTGTTTGTTTATTTGATATTGAAGCAGATAATTTAAGTAAGTTTTATGAAAACAATTGTCCATGGTTTGATCAAGGCTATTATATACTAACTGATCAGTCAGTCAGTCAACAACAACGTAGAACGTCGTACGTATGTACGTACGTACGTACGTACATCATTTCGAGTTGCTATACCACATCAGCACACACATACAATTGTCCAGTCAAATCCCATACTGGTAGAAGTAGTAAAAGTATAAGCAGTAATCGGAAACATTACAGTTTGAAAATGTTATTCAGGGAGTACAACCCAGTGAAATAAAGTTGCAAAGAGAAAAAAAATAAAAGGACATGAAGAATTCAGAAGATTATAACTTGGGAGAACATAGAGAGTGGATGCACCCGCACCATTGCAAACGATTATGAACCATGTCACTCAAGGTCTCTAACCATCAGTTACTATCATCTCGTGGATCCCAATCAGGTAGTATACACCAACCAATATGGCTCAGTCCACTTGTTAGTGACTTCATGAATTCGTGTCATGTTTTGTTTTGGCTGCCCCTGGTTTTCTTCCAGCCTACTCCTACATCATAAAACATCACATGTCGGAGCAATCGGTGGTCGGGCATATGTAACACATGTCCCATTGATCTCAACTGATTAAGTTTCATCATTTCATCAATTGATTTGCCATCCTTATCTATTACTCGTTTCCTAACAACTGGATTACTTACTCGGTTGTTCCAGGATATACAATTATTGATTCGAAGACACCATTGATACTGATTTATCAAACCCATCCTTGTCTAGTTTTAGTGTGTTGGGTTCATTAAGCTTGAATGGTACTACTGATTCGGCATATTAGGAACTAGACAGGTATTGCAATCTAATTCTGCCTCTAAATCCACGCGATCGTTCATTCTTGGACACTGTCCAGTCATTGAGCCAACAATTCGGAGACAACTCACTATTCAATGCGCGCTATCGATGTTTGAAGTTCACTATGAATGAAGATGATGATTTTCTCACACATGTGGGTATCGTCAACCAAGAATGTGAACGCTTCCGGTTGAAGTCGCTTACTGAAGACCAACTTGAAGCACTCATTCTCATCTGCAGCCTTCAATCGCAGAAGTTCAGTGACATTAGAACACGCTTGCTAAGTCGTTTGAATCAAGATCCAAAACTAACTCTTAATGATATTGCAAACGAATATCAACGCCTAATCAACCTACAGCGTGATACTACGATGGTACAGAGTGGTGGTTCAGATCGTGCCGAAGTTCATGTAGTCCAACAACCACCCAACTCGCATAAAACTACCGCAGCGACATCTAGTAAGCTTTGTATCTGTTAACATCTGAATAAGTTTCATCTGCTGCTCGAGTAATAATTCAAGTTTAGAAGGATCCATGTTCCCGAAACCACCGTCGCCAAATTGTTAGGTTCGTTAAGCTTGAATGGTACTACTGATTCGGCTTATTCGGAACGGAACGAAGGATCAGGATTCAGAGATTCGATGAACTACTCCGGTCCGTTGTCCCCGACTCAGCTAACTCGATCAAGAAGTCTTGGTAAGACGTAGAAGTGTATTCTACAGGTAACCAGCAGATACCAAGTCATGTCAGATCAAGTCAAGTTAATCAGGCACACAAGTCAAGCGTATTTATGCAAATATTTATAATCGATATTGTCATGGTAAAATTTTTTAAACATTAATCAATAAGTCCATCAATGGACAGCCATTCAAATGTTTAATCGATAAGTTCGTCAATTGACTGCTATTTAATCATTTAATCGATAAGCTCATCAATTGACTGCCATTCAAATATCTAAACATTTAGTCGATAAGTTAATCGATATGATAAAATCACAAAATATGAGTTTTGGCGATCTATCGTCCTCAACAAGTGTTGATTATTTGATCATTATCATGGGTGACTTGACATTAAGTACCCTATTTTTCTAGTGTTAGGTCGTAGAATGTTATCAAGAAGAGGTATTAGATATAATTCCCAGTGCTATGTACTATCCTTCATCAATACATACTCACAATCTCGAAGAATCCCATTTCTTTTACTGGGCTTGAACTCATATCACTCAATGTCATAAAGATGTTACTAATGTGGCTATTTGAGTCGTGATTGATTTTCTGTATAACCAGAATATACACACTGACTGATCAATGAGTATGTCATGTTTATTCTAACATCTTCATTGAAGATTTGATTTATACGTTTTACAATAGTGGCAACTTTTTTGACTCTGATACTGGTTAGTGCAGCTTTGTGTTTCAGAGTAAATATCTATTTCTTCAAACGTGTAGATACATGCCTTGCTGATACGTTTCACCTAGTATGAAATGTACATGAAATATAGGGATTCCTGTAGATTTCACCTAACCTTCTAACATGAAAAGTGATTTCATAGTCTTAGGTTCGAATAATCAGTCTGAAATCTTTCAAATCGTATGACATTATGTGACCAGTGAAATTCTACTATTGTTTTCATCTATTACTCATTACTAATGAAACTGGTTTTGTTCGAACTAACATATGCCCGAGAAAAGCTTAGTTAGTTTAGTTGTCTGTGTTGTATAACTTATTCTCTGACTCTCAGCTTTTATGAAATGATATGCAGATGATCAGTCAGCTATAAGTATAGGTCATTCATGTAACCACGGTAACTGCACATATATCCCTGTCTGTATCAATCTGGGCAGGGAGTAGGACTTCCCTGACAGTGGTTGTATGCACGTGGCCACTTGAGAGCGTTTCAAAAGGGAGAGCTTACTCTCCTCACTCTAAGCCGTACGAGCGTATTTGGGGGCCTAAGTATGTGTTGGAGGTGGGATTCGAACCCACGCCCTCATCATGGACCAGATGATGACACAGCTTCTTAGTCAGTTTGTTTTTTCTCTCACTGAATAGTTGGGTTGACCGACTGTTAGAAACATATAATACAGTCATTTAACATGACAGAATATTGAAACACGATAGGTTGATAAACTGACTTGGTATTTTGGAGATCTGTGAGACAGAAAATGAGTTTCAATCTTATCGCATTCTGTAGACGAGATGATGTAATGAATATTTCAAGTTTGTACTATGTGGAAATTTAAAAAACCAATGAAAGCTTCATGATCTAAACATCAAGCTCAGAAATATGAAAATCGCTCAAAATTGATAAGTTGTAAATCAACTAATAACATATTGTCTAGTTCGACTATGAAATTGGATGAAGAAGTAAGAACGTCCAGAGTTGCAGACGTGTTTGTCTAAAAAATGCTTATAATTACATCATTTAAATCAAAAAAAGCTTTTTCATGTTTAGGTAACTGATTTACTAAATATTTGTTTACGGACTCGGCTTTGAATCACATTGTATATGCTAGTGAAACGACCCAGCTTTCTGAAATGAAGAAGGTGAAGAAGGGTTCCAATATGTTTAACTGTTGAAAGATATCATAGCAGGCGATGAATGGATGTGTGAATAGACTCTTGTATGTCAGTGCATTATTCATCCGACCAAAAAATTCCTTGCACACATCTATTTCGGTCAGCCCTGATACATGTATGTACTAAAGGTTTGTGTCAATTACTATTCGAATTATTGTGGGAATTCAACTTTCCAGGATATATCAGTATAGAGGTTGTGGAGATTGTTAAGTTTTGATTGAGATCATGAACCGATTGATGATGTTAGACCATCATTGAAAACCTGGAAGCACTGGACGGCCGTTTCGTCCTATTGTGAGACTCATCAGCAACGCGCATCTACGATTCCTCTCTCGGGATTCGAACCCAGGGCCTTCAGTCTCCAGGATATATTTGGTCTCTGGTTTCATATTGTAGACTGGCCAAGTTTTTAGAAAGTGTATCTCAACTTATTAATAGTGATATAAGTGGTTTAACCAATTAAGCATCACTTCATTATAAGAAAATACTACAATAATAGAATATCATTTGTCTTAATCATCGTTCATTCATTGATTTACTTTTTCAGTAAATAATACAACTTCTCGAAATACTTCAGCTGATAAAAGTTCTGACAGTAGAACTATTAAATCAGCAACAAAATCACCTGGAAACAAAACAATTGGTATCACTGGTCAAAAATCTGGTTCTACACGTGGTACTTCAGCAAAAATTGATTTTAATCAAGCTCATTGGAAAATGAGAATAATATGTAATAATTCTGTAAGATTTATTCTTAGAATCAGTATGTTTCTTAAGTGGGACTATTTCGATGTTTATCTGTTGTTTATTTATAACAATTTCTCTAAAGGTAGTCACTTTTATTTCAAGTTAATAAATGTGTAGCGTGGTGTCGAGTCCCAATTGACTATGAACACCACTACAAAGAAACACGCGCCAAATAAATCAGAAGGCGAAGGTTGAACGTAACCAAATTTATTCGTTGGTGATCTCGTGGTATCGAATGAATACCGAGAAAAGGTACAAGCGGAATCGGCAGAAGAAAGTACGTGCGAACGGAGTCACGAACCGCGAAACAGTAATGGAGAATAATGGAAGAGCAATAAGGCTATCTTCAGCGCAGTTAAACAAACGAGCACAGTAAAACAATCATTGGTACAATTGGTTATAATAATAATTGTTTTCATTAAACCAATCGCGTTCTCCTGATAAAAGTAGATCACTACAGATGCATAGCTGTTAGTAGAACATTACAAATATCTAACTTTAACCAATTCACAAAATTACCCCATCGTCTACTATTATCGTCAGTGAGTTACTGAGGAGTTCTATATTAGGATGAAACAGCCATCCAGTAATTCCATGTTTTCTATGGTAGTCTAGATATAATTGACTTATGAATTCAAGTATACATTTATAAATGTCAATCGTATGGTAGTTCGGGATGCTAATACTGTGTGTTTTATCTAACTAGTCAGTTGAAAAAAGCATGTTCTCGTTTTAATATCAGAAAGGGTTTTGTGGATATTATATTAATTATAATAGTTGAGATCATAAGTGGACTGAATCTAGATCATCATAGAAAACATGGGAATACTGGACGGCCGTTTTGTCATAGCATAAAACTCTTCAACAGTGCACATCCACGATCCCGCCCCGCGAGATTCGAACCCAGGGCACATCAGTTTCGCGCGCGAGCGCCTAGCCATTAGATCACTGAGCCGACCGGCATCCAACAGTGTTAATGTCTAACTTCAACTAATCCACGAAATTCAGCGACATAT